TTTTTCACTGGGATTAAAGCCAAGTCAGGACAACCCCATTCCCAACATTCCCAGCATTCCCAGTAGGAATTCCAGCAAAGGATCAAGTGGTCAATCCTGGTGGCATCACCCACCTTGTTCCTGTTTCCATTGACCAATCCCAACCCCTAAAATTTGGGAATTCTCACTGGGATCAAAGCCAGGTCAGGAACAACCCCATTCCCAACATTCCCAACATTCCCAGTGGGAATTCCAGGAATGGATCAAGTGGTCAATCCTGGTGGCATCACCCACCTTGTTCCTACTTCCATTGACCAATCCCAACCCTAAAAATCTGGGAATTTGGGAATTCCCCCCAGGGAATTAAAACCAGGTTGGGAACAACCCCATTCCCAGCATTCCCAACATTCCCAGTGGGAATTCCATGTTTAATTCCCATGGATCAAAGGATGGGATCACCCACCTTGTTCCTGCTTCCATTGACCAATCCCAACCCCTAAAATCAGGGAATTTGGGAATTCCCCCCAGGGAATTAAAACCAGGTTGGAAACAACCCCATTCCCAACATTCCCAACATTCCCAGTGGAATTCTGGGAATGAGGGGCAATGGATCAAGGGATGGGATCACCCACCTTGTTCCTACTTCCATTGACCAATCCCAACCCCTAAAATTTGGGAATTCTCACTGGGATCAAAGCCAAGTCAGGAACAACCCCATTCCCAGCATTCCCAACATTCCCAGTGGGAATTCCATGTTTAATTCCCATGGATCAAAGGATGGCATCACCCACCTTGTTCCTACTTCCATTGACCAATCCCAACCCCTAAAATTTGGGAATTCTCACTGGGATCAAAGCCAAGTCAGGAACAACCCCATTCCCAGCATTCCCAACATTCCAAGTGGGAATTCCAGGAATGGATCAAGGTCGATCCTGGTGCCATCGACCACCTTGTTCCTGTTTCCATTGACCAATCCCACCCCCTAAAAATCAGGGAATTTGGGAATTCCCCCCAGGGAATTCAAACCAGACTGGGAACAACCCCATTCCCATCTCTATTCCCAACATTCCCAACATTCCCAGTGGGAATTCCGGCTCCTACCTGGCGGGGTTGCTCGCTGAGGCGCTGGGGGTCGGAGCGGACCTTGTTGTTGGGATGGTTGGTGATTTTGGTGACTGGTTGTTTGAAGATGGAAGCCGTTTGGCGGATGGGAAGAGTCGTGTTCAGGTCGGGTTTGCCCTGGGAAAAATCGGGAAGGAGGAAAAAATTCCATGAAAATTCCAAAAAAATCTTCACAATTCCTGAATTCCTGGCCTTAAAATCCCAACTCAATCCCTGAATTCCTGGCCTTAAAATCCCTGAATTCCTGCCCTTAAAATCCCAATTTACACCAGAATTAAAAATCCTTAAAATCCCAACCCAATCCCTGAATTCCTGGCCTTAAAATCCCAACCCAATCCCAGAATTCCTGCCCTTAAAATCCCAACCCAATCCCTGAATTCCTGGCCCTTAAAATCCCAACCCAATCCCTGAATTCCTACCCTTAAAATCCCAATTCCTGCCCCTTAAAATCCCAACCTACCCCAGAATTCCTGAACTTCTGGGAGTGGAAATTATTCCCAGAATTCCTTGAGGAAAAATCCAACCTGCTTGGGATCAATCCCAGATTCTGAATCCCAATTCAATCCCTGAATTCCTGGCCTTAAAATCCCAATTCCTGCCCCTTAAAATCCCAACCCAATCCCTGAATTCCTGCCCTTAAAATCCCAACCCAATCCCTGAATTCCTGGCCTGAAAATCAACCAATCCTGAATTCCTGCCCTTAAAATCCCAACCCAATCCCTGAATTCCTGCCCTTAAAATCCCAATTCCTGTCCTTAAAATCCCAACCCAATCCCTGAATTCCTGCCCTTAAAATCCCTGAATTCCTGGCCTTAAAATCCCAATTCCTGCCCTTAAAATCCCAACCCAATCCCTGAATTCCTGCCCTTAAAATCCCAATTTACACCTGAATTCCTGCCCTTAAAATCCCAACCCAATCCCTGAATTCCTGCCCTTAAAATCCCAATTCCTGCCCCTTAAAATCCCAATTTACACCACAATTCCTGAACTTCTGGGAGTGGAAATTATTCCCAGAATTCCTTGAGGAAAAATCCAATCTACTCCAGATCAGTCCCAGATTCTGAATCCCAATCCAAGCCCTGAATTCCTGGCCTTAAAATCCCTGAATTCCTGCCCTTAAAATCCCAACCCAATCCCTGAATTCCTGCCCTTAAAATCCCAACCCAATCCCTGAATTCCTCTCCTTAAAATCCCAATCCCTACCCCTTAAAATCCCAACCCAATCCCTGAATTCCTGTCCTGAAAATCCCAACCCAATCCCTGAATTCCTGCCCTTAAAATCCCAATTCCTGCCCCTTAAAATCCCAACCCAATCCCTGAATTCCTGCCCTTAAAATCCCAATTCCTGCCCTTAAAATCCCAACCCAATCCCTGAATTCCTGTCCTTAAAATCCCTGAATTCCTGCCCCTTAAAATCCCAACCCAATCCCTGAATTCCTGCCCTTAAAATCCCAACCCAATCCCTGAATTCCTGCCCTTAAAATCCCAATTCCTGCCCCTTAAAATCCCAATTTACCCACAATTCCTGAACTTCTGGGAGTGGAAATTATTCCCAGAATTCCTTGAGGAAAAATCCAACCTGCTTGGGATTAATTCCAGATTCTGAATCCCAATCCAATCCCTGAATTCCTGCCCTTAAAATCCCAACCCAATCCCTGAATTCCTGCCCTTAAAATCCCAATTTACCCCTGAATTCCTGTCCTTAAAATCCCAATCCAATCCCTGAATTCCTGCCCTTAAAATCCCAATTTACACCTGAATTCCTGCCCTTAAAATCCCAATCCAATCCCTGAATTCCTGCCCTTATAATCCCAACCCAATCCCTGAATTCCTGCCCTTAAAATCCCAATTTACACCTGAATTCCTGAACTTCTGGGAGTGGAAATTATTCCCAGAATTCCTTGAGGAAAAATCCAACCTGTTTTGAGATCAATCCCAGGAAGATTCCCAATCCAATCCCTGAATTCCAGCCTTGAATCCCAATCCAATCCCTGAATTCTTGTCCTTAAAATCCCAACCCAATCCCTGAATTCCTGCCCTTAAAATCCCAACCCAATCCCTGAATTCCTGCCCTTAAAATCCCAATTCCTGTCCTTAAAATCCCAACCCAATCCCTGAATTCCTCTCCTTAAAATCCCTGAATTCCTGCCCTTAAAATCCCAATCCAATCCCTGAATTCCTACCCTTAAAATCCCAATTCCTGTCCTTAAAATCCCAACCCAATCCCTGAATTCCTGCCCTTAAAATCCCAACCCAATCCCTGAATTCCAGCCCTGAATCCCAACCCAATCCCTGAATTCCTGCCCTTAAAATCCCAACCCAATCCCTGAATTCCTGCCCTTAAAATCCCAATTCCTGCCCTTAAAATCCCAACCCAATCCCTGAATTCCTGTCCTTAAAATCCCTGAATTCCTGGCCTTAAAATCCCAACCCAATCCCTGAATTCCTGCCCTTAAAATCCCAATCCAATCCCTGAATTCCTGCCCTTAAAATCCCAATCCAATCCCTCAATTCCTGCCCTCAATCCCCTCCTATTCCTGAACTTCTGGCTGGGATTATTCCCAGAATTCCTTGAGGAAAAACCCAACCTGTTTTGAGATCAATCCCAAGAAGATTCCCAATCCAATCCCTGAATTCCAGCCCTGAATCCCAACCCAATCCCTGAATTCCTCCCTTAAATTCCCAACCCACCCAATCCCTGCCCCTCCGAGAGCGAAAACGACGCCGAAACCCCCCCAATTTTTTTGGGAAAAGGACAAGGAAGCGAAATCTCTTCCCAAACCTTGTTGGGATTGAGGGAATCTCCCCGCAGGCGCTGCTTGTTCTTCTGCAATTTACCAGGCATCATCTTCCCCGTGCGGAAGTCGAAGCTGCTGAGGTCGACGGTGTTGCCGAGGTACCGAGCCAGTTGGGGCTTGCTCCGGAATTTTTTCCCGCTGGGGCTGTGGAAAAAATGGGATTTTAGGAGGAAAAGGAGTAGGGAAGGAGATGGAGGGGGAAAGGTTGGGGTGGGAGGGAAAATTTGGGGTGGGAGGAAAGTTGGGGTGGGATTGGAGGGGAAAATTGGGGTGGGAGGGGAAAAAGTGGGATTGGAGGTCCAGGATTGGGGTGGGAGGTGAAGGATTGGGATTGGAGGGGAAAATTGGGATTGGAGGGGAAAAAGTGGGATTGGAGGTGAAGGATTGGGATTGGAGGTGAAGGATTGGGATTGGAGGGGAAAAAGTGGGATTGGAGGGGAAAAAGTGGGATTGGAGGTGAAGGATTGGGATTGGAGGTGAAGGATTGGGATTGGAGGGGAAAAAGTGGGATTGGAGATGAAAAACTGGGATTGGAGCTCCAGGATTGGGATTGGAGGTCAAAAACTGGGATTGGAGCTCCAGGATTGGGATTGGAGGTCAAAAACTGGGATTGGAGGTCAAAAACTGGGATTGGAGCTCAAAAACTGGGATTGGAGGTCCAGGATTGGGATCAGAGATCCAGGATGGGACTGGAGCTCCAGGATTGGGATTGGAGGTGAAAAATTGGGGTGGCAGGTCCAGGATTGGGATTGGAGGTCAAGGATTGGGACTGGAGCTCCAGGATTGGGCTGGGAGATGAAGAATTGGGATTGGAGGGGAAAAACTGGGATTGGAGGGGAAGGATTGGGATTGGAGCTCCAGGATTGGGATCAGAGATCCAGGACTGGGATCAGAGATCCAGGATTGGGATTGGAGCCCAAAAACTGGGATTGGAGGGGGAAAACTGGGATTGGAGGTGAAAAAGTGGGATTGGAGGTCCAGAATTGGGATTGGAGGGGAAAATTGGGATTGGAGGGGAACAATAGGGATTGGAGGTGAAGGATTGGGATTGGAGCTCCAAAAGTGGGATTGGAGGTGAAAAAGTGGGATTGGAGGTGAAGGATTGGGATCAGAGCTCCAGGATGGGATTGGAGCTCCAAAAGTGGGATTGGAGCTCCAGGATTGGGGTGGGAGGTGAAGGATTGGGATTGGAGGTGAAAAACTGGGATTGGAGGTCAAGGATTGGGATTGGAGCTCTAGGATTGGGATTGGAGGTGAAGGATTGGGATTGGAGCTCAAAAACTGGGACTGGAGGTCAAGGATTGGGATTGGAGGTGAAAAACTGGGATTGGAGCTCCAGGATTGGGATCAGAGATCCAGGATGGGATTGGAGGTCAAGGATTGGGATTGGAGGTGAAGGGTTGGGATTGGAGGTCCAGGATTGGGATTGGAGGTGAAGGATTGGGATTGGAGCTCCAGGATTGGGATTGGAGGTGAAGGATTGGGATTGGAGCTCCAGGATTGGGATTGGAGGTGAAGGATTGGGATTGGAGCTCCAGGATTGGGATCAGAGATCCAGGATTGGGATCAGAGCTCCAGGATTGGGATCAGAGATCCAGGATGGGATCGGAGGTGAAAAACTGGGATGGGAGGTCAAGGGTTGGGATCAGAGCTCCAGGATTGGGATTGGAGCTCCAGGATTGGGATCAGAGCTCCAGGATTGGGATCAGAGCTCCAGGATGGGATTGGAGCTCCAGGATTGGGATCAGAGCTCCAGGATTGGGATTGGAGGGGAAAAACTGGGATTGGAGGTCAAGGATTGGGATTGGAGGTCAAGGATTGGGATTGGAGGTCACCTTGGAGCTCTTCAGGTACTGGGATTGGGATTGGAGGTGAAAAACTGGGATTGGAGCTCCAGGATTGGGATTGGAGCTCCAGGATTGGGATCAGAGCTCCAGGATTGGGATCAGAGCTCCAGGACTGGGATTGGAGCTCCAAAACTGGGATTGGAGGTGAAAAACTGGGATTGGAGCTCCAGGATTGGGATCAGAGATCCAGGATGGGATTGGAGGTCAAGGATTGGGATTGGAGGTGAAGGATTGGGATTGGAGGTCAAGGATTGGGATTGGAGGTGAAGGATTGGGATTGGAGGTGAAAAATTGGGGTGGGAGGTCCAGGATTGGGACTGAAGCTCCAGGATTGGGATTGGAGGTCAAAAACTGGGATTGGAGGTGAAAAACTGGGATGGGAGGTCAAGGGTTGGGATTGGAGGTCAAAGATTGGGATTGGAGGTGAAGGATTGGGATCAGAGATCCAGGATTGGGATTGGAGGTGAAAAAACTGGGATTGGAGCTCAAAAACTGGGATTGGAGGTCAAAGATTGAGATTGGAGATCAAAGATTGGGATTGGAGGGAAAGGATTGGGATTGGAGCTCAAAAACTGGGATTGGAGCTCAAAAACTGGGATTGGAGGTCCAGGATTGGGATCAGAGATCCAGGATTGGGGTGGGAGATGAAGGATTGGGATTGGAGGGGAAAATTGGGATTGGAGGGGAAAAAGTGGGATTGGAGGTCAAGGATTGGGATCAGAGCTCCAGGATTGGGATTGGAGGGAAAGGATTGGGATTGGAGGTCCAGGATTGGGGTGGGAGATGAAGGATTGGGATTGGAGGGGAAAATTGGGATTGGAGGTCAAGGATTGGGATTGGAGGTCACCTTGGAGCTCTTCAGGTACTGGGATTGGGATTGGAGGTGAAAAACTGGGATTGGAGCTCCAGGATTGGGGTGGGAGATGAAGGATTGGGATTGGAGGTGAAAAATTGGAGTGGGAGGTCCAGGATTGGGATTGGAGGTCCAGGATTGGGATCAGAGCTCCAAAAGTGGGATTGGAGCTCCAGGATTGGGATCAGAGATCCAGGATTGGGATTGGAGCTCCAAAACTGGGATTGGAGGTGAAAAACTGGGATTGGAGGTCAAGGATTGGGATTGGAGCTCCAGGATTGGGATTGGAGGTCAAGGATTGGGATCAGAGCTCCAGGATTGGGATTGGAGCTCCAGGATTGGGATCAGAGCTCCAGGACTGGGATCAGAGCTCCAGGATTGGGATCAGAGCTCCAGGATTGGGATTGGAGCTCCAGAATTGGGATCAGAGATCCAGGATTGGGATCAGAGATCCAGGATGGGATTGGAGCTCCAAAAGTGGGATCAGAGCTCCAGGATTGGGATCAGAGATCCAGGATGGGATTGGAGCTCCAAAACTGGGATTGGAGGGGGAAAAGTGGGATTGGAGGTCAAGGATTGGGATCAGAGCTCCAGGATTGGGATTGGAGGTGAAAAACTGGGATTGGAGGTGAAAAACTGGGATTGGAGGGGAAGGATTGGGATTGGAGGTCAAGGATTGGGATCAGAGATCCAGGATTGGGATCAGAGCTCCAGGATTGGGATTGGAGGTCAAGGATTGGGATCAGAGCTCCAGGATTGGGATTGGAGCTCCAGGATTGGGATTGGAGCTCCGGAATTGGGATTGGAGCTCCAGGATTGGGATTGGAGGTCAAGGATTGGGATTGGAGCTCCAGGATTGGGATTGGAGGTCAAGGATTGGGATCAGAGCTCCAGGATTGGGATTGGAGCTCCAGGATTGGGATTGGAGGTCAAGGATTGGGATTGGAGCTCCAGGATTGGGATTGGAGGTCAAGGATTGGGATCAGAGCTCCAGGATTGGGATCAGAGCTCCAGGATTGGGATTGGAGATCAAGGATTGGGATTGGAGCTCCAGGATGGGATCGGAGCTCCAGGATGGGATCGGAGCTCCAGGATTGGGATCAGAGCTCCAGGATTGGGATTGGAGCTCCAGGATTGGGATCAGAGCTCCAGGATTGGGATTGGAGCTCCAGGATTGGGATCAGAGCTCAAGGATTGGGATCAGAGCTCCAGGATTGGGATCAGAGCTCCAGGACTGGGATCAGAGCTCCAGGATTGGGATTGGAGCTCCAGGATTGGGATTGGAGCTCAAAAACTGGGATTGGAGGTCAAGGATTGGGATTGGAGGTGAAGGATTGGGATTGGAGGTCAAAGATTGGGATCAGAGCTCCAGGATTGGGATCGGAGCTCCAGGATTGGGATTGGAGCTCCAGGATTGGGATTGGAGCTCAAAAACTGGGATTGGAGCTCCAGGATTGGGATCAGAGCTCCAGGATTGGGATCAGAGCTCCAGGATTAACTTTTGGGATCCCCCAGGATCTCTTCCCTCCCCAACCCATCCCAACCCACCCTGAGGAATTTTTCCAACCCTTCAAATCCTACCAAGAATTCCCAACCACCCCCCTTGCAGCTTTTCCACACCTAAGAGAAGGTTGGGAATTCCCAGAATTCCGGTGGCGAAGCGGAGCAGCCAAGCGGAGCAGCAAAGCGAGCCGGGAATTCCGATCCCAGCGGGAATTCCCGTCAGGATCCGACCCTTTGGAATCCTCGGGAATGAGAGCCTTAAAAAAGGGGTTGGAATTCCCAAAAGGTTTGGGATTTTGTGGGGTTTTTTTTGGAATTCCCTTTGGAATTCCTGGTATCAAATCCGAGTTCTGAGAGGGAAAAAAATCTCCTAAAAATTCCCAGGGAATATTTGGGATTTCTTCCTAAATAAACTCGGAAAAGCCGAGGGTTTCTCCCAAAGGGAATTCCCCAAAAAATCCAGCTTCTCATCCAGGATTTTCCTGGTTGCAATTCCCATTTTTCCCCTGATTTTTGGATGGGTTTGGGCAGCCGTTTTCCCCCCTCCCCACTTCAGACTCAATTCCAGAGGATAAATCCAAGATTTCCAGGATATTTGGGGGATATTCCCGCTCTTCCAAAACCCCTTAAAAGCAGGGTTAACATAAATCCTGATTTTCCAAGAGAAATCCTGGAATTCTCCCGAGCTTTATCCGAGGTTTTTTTTGGGATTGCTTGATTTTTTTTCCCACTTTTTTAGCCAAACCACAAATCCCTGGAGAAGGGAAGGATTTAAGGATCAAGAAAATTCCAAAGGTTGCAAAGCAAAAAGACAGAATCCCCTCCCCCCACCAACATTCCCAATTTCCCCAAGGAGCGAGAAAGGAGCAGGGAAAAAAAAGCGGGAATTGCGGCTGTTCCGGGCGGCTCCGGCAAGAGGGAAGGTTGCAGGTGGTTGGTTGGTTGCTGATTGATTGCTGATGGCTGCTTGGTGGCTGGTTGGTGGCTGGTTGATGGTGGTTGGCAGGTGGATCCACGGGATCTATAAATATAGAGGAGCTGCGGGTGAGCCAAGCGGGGTAAATTGGGAATTGGGGGGGGTAAATTGAGGATTGGGGGGGGTAAATTGGGAATGGGAAAATTGGGAAGGGGAAAATTGGGATTGGGGGGGTAAATTGGGAGAGTGGATTGAGGGAAATTGGGGGAGTTTTCCAAGCAGGAAGCAGAGCTGGGGTAGGGAAAGGTGGGGATGTGGGATTAGATCAGACTGGGATTGGACTGGGATGATCCCAGATGGGGAACTGGGAGGATCCCAAACTGGGATTGGACTGGGATGATCCCAGAGAGGGAACTGGGATGATCCCAGACTGGGATTGGACTGGGATCATCCCAGATAAGGAACTGGGATGATCCCAGACTGAGTAGAGGACTGGGATGATCCCAGACTGGGAAATGGGAGGATCCCAGACTGGAATTAGACTGGGAAGGGGACTGGGATGATCCCAGAAAAGGAACTGGGATGATCCCAGACTGGGCAGAGGACTGGGATGATCCCAGAAAAGCAACTGGGATGATCCCAGACAGGGAACTGGGATGATCCCAGACTGGGATTACACTGGGATCAGCCCAGAGAGGGAACTGGGATCATCCCAGACTGGGATTAGACCAGGAAGGGGACTGGGATGATCCCAGACTGGGAACTGGGATGATCCCAGACAAGGAACTGGGATGATCCCAGAAAAGGAACTGGGATGATCCCAGACTGGAATTAGATCAGGAAGGGGACTGGGATGATCCCAGATAAGGAACTGGGATGATCCCAGAAAAGGAACTGGGATGATCCCAGATTGGGCAGAGGACTGGGATGATCCCAGACAGGGAACTGGGATGATCCCAGAAAAGGAACTGGGATGATCCCAGACAAGGAACTGGGATGATCCCAGACTGGGCAGAGGACTGGGATGATCCCAGACAAGGAACTGGGATGATCCCAGACTGGGCAAAGGACTGGGATGATCCCAGACTGGGCAAAGGACTGGGATGATCCCAGACAAGGAACTGGGATGATCCCAGACAGGGAACTGGGATGATCCCAGACTGGAATTAGACTGGGAAGGGGACTGGGATGATCCCAGACAAGGAACTGGGATGATCCCAGACAAGGAACTGGGATGATCCCAGACAAGGAACTGGGATGATCCCAGACAAGGAACTGGGATGATCTCAGACTGGGCAGAGGACTGGGATGATCCCAGACAAGGAACTGGGATCATCCCAGACAAGGAACTGGGATCATCCCAGCCAGAAAACCGGGATCATCCCAGCCAGAAAACCGGGATCATCCCGTACCAGAAAACCGGGATCATCCCAGCCAGAAAACCGGGATCATCCCAGCCAGAAAACCGGGATCATCCCAGCCAGAGAACCGGAATCCCCCCCTTGCCAAGGAACCGGAAAGAAGCCATGGAATGAGAAGACCGGGATCCCCCAGCCCCTGGCAGCCCCTAAAGCAGGAAAACTCCAAGCTCCCCATCATTCCAAACATCGGGAATGTCCTTCCAAACACCGGGAATTTCCCATTCCAAGCCTCCCATTCCCATTCCAAGCCCCCCCCGCGCGCGGGGCGATGGCGGAAGCGGCCGCGTTCTGACAGCTGGCTCCTTCCTCCTCTTCCTAGTTCCTCGCTGCCGGTTTATCCCGTCAGAATTCCCATTCCCGATCCCATTCCCAATCCCATTCCCATCGTACCTGAAATAATACACATCGCTCTTGCCGGCGCTCAACCCGGATTTACGGATCACCTCTTCTTTCTTCCAACCCGGCGGTAAAGCCGGGCAGTCCATCCTGCCCGGTTTCTCCATGGGTTTGGCGTTGTTATCTCGGGGTTATCCCGGTGGGTTTGGTGGTTTTTTTTCCCGGGAATTCCCGGGATTGTCCCCGGGGCCGGGAGCCCGCGGCGATGGCGGTTGCACCACAGAGAGCGAGACCTCCGGGAGGGCCGGAGCGGTGCCCAAAGGAACCATAGAGAGGGGAGGGGAAGGGACGGAGAGGCCCCAGCTTGGAGGACTAAAATGGCGGCCGCCGGAGGACCCCGCGGCGGGATCGTTGAGTGGGATTTAAAAGTGGGATTTAAAAGTGGGATTTAAAAGTGGAGCTGCTTAATGCAAAGCGGAACCCACGCGCGGGCCCTGAGTGGGATCGCAGGGTGGGGTCTGTTTATGGGACCCCTTTGTGGGACCCACGGGACGGGGAGGGCCCGGAGGGGAGGAGCCAAAATGGCGGCCGGGGGAGGAGCCCAGAGCGGGATCTTTGAGTGGGATTTAAAAGTGGGATTTAAGAGTGGGATTTAAAAGTGGAGTTTCTTAATGGGACCCTAGAACGGCGCCCACGCGCGGGCTTTGAGTGGGATCGCAGAGTGGAGCCCCTTTGTAGGACCCACGGCACGGGGAGGGCCCTGAGGGGAGGAGCCAAAATGGCGGCCGGGGGAGGAGCCCAGAGTGGGATCGTTGAGTGGGATTTAAAAGTGGGATTTAAAAGTGGAATCTCGGAGTGGAGCTGCTTAATGCAAAGCGGAACCCACGCGCGGGCCCTGAGTGGGATCGTAGGGTGGGGTCTGTTTATGGGACCCCTAAACGGGACCCACGGGACGGGGAGGGCCCTGAGGGGAGGAGCCAAAATGGCGGCCGGGGGAGGAGCCCAGAGCGGGATCGTTGAGTGGGATTTAAAAGTGGGATTTAAAAGTGGAGTTTCTTAATGGGACCCTAAAACGGCGCCCACGCGTGGGCTTTGAGTGGGATCGCAGGGTGGGGCCCCGTTAGGGGACACCAAAATGGGACCCACGGGACGGGGAGGGCCCTGAGGGGAGGAGCCAAAATGGCGGCCGGGGGAGGAGCCCAGAGCGGGATCGTTGAGTGGGATTTAAAAGTGGGATTTAAAAGTGGAGTTTCTTAATGGGACCCTAAAACGGCGCCCACGCGCGGGCTCTCCCTGAGTGGGATCGCAGGGTGGGGTCTGTTTATGGGACCCTTAAACGGGACCCACGGGACGGGGAGGGCCCTGAGGGGAGGAGCTAAAATGGCGGCCGGGGGAGGAGCCCAGAGCGGGATCTTTGAGTGGGATTTAAAAGTGGGATTTAAGAGGGGAATTTCTTAATGGGACCCTAAAACGGCGCCCACGCGCGGGCTCTGAGTGGGATCGCAGAGTGGAGCCCCTTTGTGGGATTCCAAAACGGGACCCACGGGACGGGGAGGGCCCGGAGAGGAGGAGCCAAAATGGCGGCCGGGGGAGGAGCCCAGAGCGGGATCTTTGAGTGGGATTTAAAAGTGGGATTTAAAAGTGGAGTTTCTTAATGGGACCCTAAAACGGCGCCCACGCGCGGGCTTTGAGTGGGATCGCAGGGTGGGGTCTGTTTATGGGACCCTCTAAACGGGACCCACGGGACGGGGAGGGCCCTGAGGGGAGGAGCTAAAATGGCGGCCGGGGGAGGAGCCCAGAGCGGGATCGTTGAGTGGGATTTAAAAGTGGGATTTAAAAGTGGAATCTCGGAGTGGAGTTGCTTAATGCAAAGCGGAACCCACGCGCGGGCCCTCCCTGAGTGGGATCGCAGGGTGGGGTCTGTTTATGGGACCCCCTAAACGGGACCCACGGGACGGGGAGGGCCCTGAGGGGAGGAGCCAAAATGGCGGCCGGGGGAGGAGCCCAGAGCGGGATCGTTGAGTGGGATTTAAAAGTGGGATTTAAAAGTGGAGTTTCTTAATGAGACCCTAAAACGGCGCCCACGCGCGGGCTTTGAGTGGGATCGCAGGGTGGGGTCTGTTTATGGGACCCCTAAACGGGACCCACGGGACGGGGAGGGCCGTGAGGGGAGGAGCCAAAATGGCGGCCGGGGGAGGAGCCCAGAGCGGGATCTTTGAGTGGGATTTAAAAGTGGGATTTAAGAGTGGAGTTTCTTAATGGGACCCTAAAACGGCGCCCACGCGCGGGCTTTGAGTGGGATCGCAGGGTGGGGTCTGTTTATGGGACCCCCTAAACGGGACCCACGGGACGGGGAGGGCCCGGAGGGGAGGAGCCAAAATGGCGGCCGGGGGAGGAGCCCACAGCGGGACTCTGAGGGGATTCCGGCGTGGAAGTCCTTAATGACACCCCAAAATAGGACACGCGGGGGGACACCCCAAAATAGGACACGCGAGGGGACACCCTAAAATCGGACCCACGAGCGGACCCCTAAATGAGACCCTGAGTGGGATCCCAGAGTGAAAGTCCTTAATGGGACCCCAAAACAGAACCCACGAGGGGACCCCAAAACGGGACCCACGGGGAGACCCCACAGAGGGATCCCAGAGTGGAGCCCCTTAATGGGACCCCAAAATTGAACCCACGGGGGACCCCACACCCCACAGAGGGATCCACAGCGAGACCCTACAATGGGACCCACGGGGGGGACCCCACAACGGCTCCTTCGCGTGGGATTCCCCACAGGAGCGCCGACTTCGACCCCACACCAGCTCCCTAAAGGTTCTTAAAACCACAAACCGATCCTCTCATTTTCTCCCCGCGGCGCGTCCAAAAATCCCCAAAGCTGTCCCAAATCCCAAAACTCGTCCTAAATCCCAAAACTCGTCCCAAATCCCAAAATTTATCCCAAATCCCAAAATTTATCCCAAATCCCATCGCCGCTGTTTAAAAACGACTTTATCCCTGACCTTTTAACCCCCCTTAACCCCGCCTCTCCCTCAGCCGCCGGCTCTAGGACCCCGCGGCGCGATCGCAACGCGCAGGGGCGGCTGGGACCACCCCCCCCCCCCCCTTCTTAAAGACCGCCTTAAAAAAAAAAAAAAAAAAATTCCCATTTCCGCCGTATTCCCAACCTGATTCCCGGGAAAGGTTGGGAATTCATGGAGGAGCGGGATGATGAGGAGTGGGATGAGGAGGAGGAGGAAGAGGAGCTGGAAGAGCTGCGAGCGCCTCAGGGTGAGGGGGCTCAAAATGGCGGCCGGCTCTGAGGGGAATCGGCGCGCGACCCCTGAGGGGAGGGAGAGATTTTCCCTTTTCCCTTTTCCACTCGTGAAAAAAACCCCGAAATTCCACAAAAACATCGGGATTTGATGACGCTTAACTTAAAAACCCCGAGGGTTGATCGCTGGTTTTGTGCTGTCGCAGGGGGCAGGGTGATCGTGCACCTGGACCTGGATTGTTTCTACGCGCAGGTGGAAATGTTGCGGAATCCCGATTTAAAAACCAAGCCTTTAGGTAAGATTAATTTTCCCTTGTTAAAATTAATTTCCCCATCCCGTTAATTGAGGGATTAAATTAATTAGGAAACGTGGAGAGGCGGTTCCTAAAATCCTCCGGGAGCATCACTTTGGAATGGGAGGTCGTGAGGGAGACGAGCCCGGGAAACGCCCAAAAAATGAGATTTAAACCTTATTTTCCTGGTTTTTTTTGGTTTTCCAAGGAGTGCAGCAAAAATCCCTGGTGGTCACCTGTAATTACGAAGCCAGGAAATTTGGGATTAGGAAGCTGATGGGAATCCGGGAGGCCAAGGAAAAATGCCCTCAGCTCGTCCTGGTGAAGGGAGAGGATTTAACTCCTTACAGGGAAATGTCCAATAAAGTCACAGGTAAAAAAAATTCCTTTCTTTTTTTTTTAATGGGTAATTTCCATGGTTTTTTTTGGTGGAATTAAAAGCAGAATTCCTGAGGGGAAAAACGCCTTGAATTCCTGAGGGAAATTGGGGAAGGGAGAGATTTTTGGGATAAAATTCCTCTTTTCCCAGCTTGTTTTTTCTCAGGGGATCAAGAGATTTTGGGGATAAAATTCCTTTTTCCTCAGGGAATCGAGAGATTTTGGGGATAAAATTCCTCTTTTCCCAGCTTGTTTTTCCTCAGGGGATCGAGAGATTTTTTGGGATAAAATTCCTCTTTTCCCAGCTTGTTTTTCCTCAGGGGATCAAGAGATTTTTGGGATAAAATTCCTCTTTTCCCAGCTTGTTTTTCCTCAGGGGATCGAGAGATTTTTGGGATAAAATTCCTTTTTTCTCAGGGGATCGAGAGATTTTTGGGATCAAGAAAATTCCTCTTTTCCCAGCTTGTTTTTCCTCAGGGGATCGAGAGATTTTTTGGGATAAAATTCCTCATTTTCCAGGTTGTTTTTCCTCAGGGGATTGAGAGATTTTGGGGATAAAATTCCTCTTTTCCCAGCTTGTTTTTCCTCAGGGGATCGAGAGATTTTGGGGATAAAATTCCTTTTTTCTCAGGGGATCGAGAGATTTTGGGATAAAACTCCTTTTTTCTCAGGGGATCGAGAGATTTTTGGGATAAAATTCCTTTTTTCCCAGCTTGTTTTTCCTCAGGGGATCGAGAGATTTTTGGGGATAAAATTCCTTTTTTCTCAGGGGATCAAGAGATTTTGGGGATAAAATTCCTTTTTTCTCAGGGGATCAAGAGATTTTGGCGATAAAATTCCTTTTTCCTCAGGGGATCGAGAGATTTTTGGGGATAAAATCCCTCTTTTCCCAGCTTGTTTTTTCTCAGGGGATCGAGAGATTTTAGGGATAAAATTCCTTTTTTCTCAGGGGATCGAGAGATTTTTTGGGATAAAATTCCTCTTTTCCCAGCTTGTTTTTCCTCAGGGGATCGAGAGATTTTGGGGATAAAATTCCTCTTTTCCCAGCTTGTTTTTCCTCAGGGGATCGAGAGATTTTGGGGATAAAATTCCTTTTTTCTCAGGGGATCGAGAGATTTTTGGGATAAAATTCCTTTTTTCTCAGGGGATCGAGAGATTTTTGGGATCAAATTCCTCTTTTCCCAACTTGTTTTTCCTCAGGGATCGAGAGATTTTGGGGATAAAATTCCTCTTTTTCCAGGTTGTTTTTCCTCAGGGGATCGAGAGATTTTGGGGATAAAATTCCTTTTTTCTCAGGGGATCGAGAGATTTTGGGGATCAAGAAAATTCCTCTTTTTCCAGCTTGTTTTTCCTCAGGGGATCGAGAGATTTTGGGATAAAATTCCTTTTTTCTCAGGGGATCGAGAGATTTTTGGGGATAAAATTCCTTTTTTTTCCAGGTTTTTTTCTCAATTAATCCAAGTGAAATTTTCTAAAACTGGGAGACCTCTCCAAATGGATAAATCCCATCTTTTTTTTTTTTAAATCCCTGTTTTTTCTTTAAATCCCTGCTTTTTTTCTTTAAATCCCTGGTTTTTTTTCTTTTAAATCCCTGTTTTATTTTTTTTCCTTTTAGAATTACTGGAAGAATTTTGTCCCCTGGTGGAAAGGCTGGGCTTGGATGAGAATTTCGTGGATATCACAGAGCTGGTTGGGAAAAGGCTCCAACAACTGGAATTCCATCATTCCCAAATCCAAGCGTGTGGCCACATCTACAACCAACAAAGTAAGACCAAAATTCCCATTTTTTTTCCCTTAAAATCAGGAAAAAATTTATTAAAATTAAAGGAATAATCTGATTTTTTTGCTTGATTTTGCCTTGGTTTTAATTTTTTTCCTTAAAAACAGAAAAAAAATTATTAAAATTAAAGGAATAATCTGATTTTTTTTGCTTGATTTTTCTTTAGTTTTTTTTTCCTTAAAATCAGGAAAAAATTTATTAAAATTAAGGAATTTTTTTGCTTGATTTTTCCTTGGTTTTAATTTTTTTTCCCTTAAAATCAGGAAAAAAATTGTTAAAATTAAAGGAATAATCTGATTTTTTTGCTTGATTTTTCCTTGGTTTTAATTTTTTTTCCTTAAAATCAGGAAAAAATTATTAAAATTAAGGAATTTTTTTGCTCGATTTTGCCTTGGTTTTAATTTTTTTTTCCTTAAAATCAGGAAAAAAATTGTTAAAATTAAAGGAATAATCTGATTTTTTTGCTTGATTTTTCCTTGGTTTTAATTTTTTTTTCCTTAAAATCAGGAAAAAAATCGTTAAAATTAAAGGAATAATCTGATGTTTTTGTTTGATTTTTCCTTGGTTTTTTTTTCCTTAAAATCAGGAAAAAAATCGTTAAAATTAAAGGAATAATCTGATTTTTTTGCTTGATTTTTCCTTGGTTTTTTTTTTCCTTAAAATCAGGAAAAAATTTATTAAAATTAAGGAATTTTTTTGCTTGATTTTGCCTTGGTTTTAATTTTTTTTCCTTAAAATCAGGAAAAAATTATTAAAATTAAGGAATTTTTTTGCTTGATTTTGCCTTGGTTTTTTTTTCCTTAAAATCAGGAAAAAAAATCGTTAAAATTAAAGGAATAATCTGATTTTATTGCTTGATTTTTCTTTGGTTTTTTTTTTCCTTAAAATCAGGGAAAAAATCATTAAAATTAAAGGAATAATCTGATTTTTTCGCTCGTTTTTTCCTTGTTTTTAATTTTTTTTTTGTTGTTTTTTTTTTTTAGGGATTAATTTACAAGATCCCCGCCACCTCCAACTCCTCCTGGGCTCCCAACTAGCTCAGGAATTCCGACATTCCCTAAAAACCCGCCTGGGCCTCACCTCTTGTGCCGGGGTGGCTCCCAATAAATTATTGGCCAAATTAATCTCCGGCATCTTCAAACCCGACCAACAAACTTTGCTTCTCCCAGAAAACCACCGGGATTTCTTATCCAGCTTGGATCCCATCCAGAAACTCCCAGGTGAGGGGTTTTAAAATTCCTGGAAAATTGTTTGTTGGGGGTTTTTTTGGGAATTTGATTGATTTTGTTGGGTTTTTTTTGGGGATTTGATTGATTTTGTTGGGTTT